TATATACGGGTCAAATGTGGTGTGAGGGAGGTAGGCGACACACCAAGTCACGTTAGACTTCGTCACTTCTCGTGTTTTGCCTGAGAGGGGCAGACAAACAAGTGTGGCGCGCCATGGTCGCACAGCACCCTCAAATTTCATCCTAAACGTAGTTGAGCGATGGAGGGAAGTTGAGTCACTCTCTCAATTTTTCACATGTGAATTTTGACCTTTCACATCGAAGAGACCGCACGGTAACTTGGACTGCTTTTGCCACAGAATAATGAGAGAATGAATTTCGACTGCAGGTACGTTTGGTAATTAGTTAGTAGCAAACGAGTTGAAGAAGCGTAAGGCACTTGGGCTGCGTTCAGACTTTGCGTCAGCAACCACCAGCGACCAACCAGCATTACGAGCGTACGCAAGCGTCAGCGACTAGGAAAGTGTAGATACTCATCTAGCGATCGCCAGCTCTAGCGGTTCCATCAGTGTTTGCGCAGGGCTTTGCTCAAGTTCAAAAGTGCCCGCGAAAAGTTGAAAGTTTAAAAGTGTTGTACGCTGCTAAAGTTTAAAAGTGCTGGACACTGATGGACGCTGGCGTTCGCTAGATCGACACCCATAGGCAGCGTTCAGACTTCGCGACGGTAGCGCTTCGGTCGCGCGTTCGACGCGATCGATGCGCATGCTTTCGACTGCATCGATCGCGTCAAAAGCGCGACCGAAGCGCTGCCGTCGCGAAGTCTAAACGTTTCCATACTTCCCTGGTCCTCGAGCTTCTGATGGACGTCAACGTCGCTGGATCGATATCTAGTCTTCCCTGTAGCTGGTGCTGGCGTGCGCTCGAAATGCTCTTGGGCTAACGCAAAGTATGAAAGCAGCCCTAAGTAGCTTAGGAGGAGGGGAGGGGGAGGGTGGTCCCCTCCTCCTCCGCTAACTACGTTAGCCTCGGGCTGAAAGCTTAACCCAATAAATAAGTGAATAAAAATAAATTCATCAGAAAAAAAAGAACCTGAAGCACGCCGCTGTGGTAACAGTAGTTGTCCTCCAGTCGCGATTTGGTTGAGGTAACAAGAGAATCAGAGAAAGTGAGAATAAATATTAAAGAATACTGAATCATCTCTACAATGCCGAAGATGAGAAGGACCCGTAAGTCGTCGTTGCGTCTGTGACTGTGCGGTGTTGGAAAAGCTATAGCATTTTGCTGCTTGTGCTAGTCGTCGAATAATCTGAACACATTGACTTCGCATAGGCAAATATTTCCAATGAATTCAAAAAAGAGCAGAAAGCGGACGGTTCTACAGCGAATACTTGAATACACAACATGAGATACTCGAACAGGACTCATACTTCGGGAAAACATCATTGGAAAATCAATAAATGGAATTTTCTTCAGAAAGAACTTGAGAAGTCAACCAAGTTCAAGTTAGGTCGCGTTCGTACATCGTCTGCCTTCACCTTACAAAACAAAAGGAAAATGAAAACCGACGAAATTGATCAGATACGTACCGACTGAACTCTGGTTGGTCATGTCGATATGTATCTAACCCTCTTCGTAGATTCCCTGGAGGGAAACATGTATGAGTGTGACCATGAGAACGGTCTGGAGGAACCGTACCTGTTGGTGAAGACCAAATTATGATTGCCATATCACACTCAGTTTCATCTGATATCAAAACCACAGATTAGCGTGACCGCTTCAAAACAAACATTTCCTGTCAATCACTTGACTTCAGCTACCTATTACACTACAGTGGAGGTGAACACTAATGATTGGAAACATCGCTCAAGATCAGATGTCCAAGTCATCTTTCTTTGCACAAGCGAAAAGGTGATCTGAACCTAAAGGCAGGTCCTGCGTTCAAGGTGATTTGTGCTGCATGAACGCTAATGACACGCTCAGCGCTGGCGCGTCAGCAACACAGAAGTGAAGAAAAAAGCTCCAAAAACCCTCCCGAAACGGTCTGTATGGAACTCCATGCTGAAACGCGCTTGTACATGCATAAAGCGAAAAGAGGGCGTGGTCGGACGAGTTCCCAGGTTTATGTCAGCTCTTTCTCTCTATCACCTGAGTTATGGTTCGAAACGGAGAAAGATAGTAGTGGAACAGTCGCACCATTGGGTAACAGTTAAAAATGAATGCTGGGCGTCGCCGTGGATTGTGGATGACGCAGTGGTTTCGAGCCAAGCCAGCGGCGCTT